CTGCCCCTTGAAGTCACCCTTTGGTTGGAGCCTCTGTCTTGTTCATATGTAAAAAAGATGGTGTGTCGACTATTATGCCTTGAACGAGGTAATGGCGAGGGACAATTATGCAATACCACGTGGTGATGCCATGTGAATCAAGTTTTTGCGGACTATCCTCAAGCACTTTGAACATTTGCAAATGGCATTCCAAATGATTGCGCAAGAATAAACTTTATGCTACGAAAACCAAATGCGAGTTTGAGGTTCAATCCTAAGAAACTTCACACTTCATGGCATTCGTTTCCAATCCAAGATTGACTCGATCCACCAAGGATTGGATTCCTTCCTAGTATTGTCCGACTTTGGATGAGTGTTGTATGATGCGTCCAACTTTGCATTGAAGATGATTATCCAGTTTCATACTTCTAGAGGAAGTGCAATGACATTGAAGCCATTGTGCAGTCACTCCAGCAGAGGTGATAACGGATCATTGCACCTTGCGGCATTTCTTAGAGCATTCATTTATATATCCTTTTCTTTGCAGTTTCCACTTTCAAAACCATGGATTGTGAAGCTCAATCAGCTCGAACAGCTCGTGAGCTCGTCGGCCATGTCACCAACAAACTCCACTCCCAAGCCCGGTACTGCGAGAAGATCTCCGCCGCGCTCGACACATCTCCGCATTTTCCATACATGTTGATGGCCGCTGCTCCAGCAGTGACATCGAACTTCTCGCCGCTCGAATAGATAGCACTGCCGTCCGAGAGAGCTGTGAAGGCCGCGCAGACGTCGAGAAACTGGAGAAACTTTCTGCAAAGGTACGACTGCAGAGAAAGTAACCTCCCTCTTCTCTTTCGCACTCACTCTATAGCCATCAGCTTTGAGTCACCCTTGACATCACCCTACATCGACACGGAGAATTTCTCGCCCGAGTGGTGGTGCCTGGCATTCGAGGGAGCGAAGTTCGAGTAAAAGTGCGTGAGTTGGAGCCCGCTGAAGGCAATCTGGCAACACCCTGAGCCGGCAAACTCTTGGGGAACAAGAAATCTTCGAATTAAGGGAAAGCTCATCCAGATACAGTTTAATCCTTCTTCTTCTTCGCTGCCAACTTCTGCATGCTGTCCCCACATCGTGGTCGGCGTTTGGTGGACTTCTTAATTCAGTTACGCTCGGGCTCGGGATAGTGGTGCTTCCAGTTTCGCATCCGCCCGAGCCCGAGCCCGAGCCAGAGCCAGAGCTGGAGCCCAAGACAAGAGGCACTGTTGAACTTGTACTCCGAGCCTGAGACACTTTGTAACCCTTGTACAATGTACACCCCTGTTGACAGCTTGGAAGGAATTTCCTTTGCTATGTCCTCAAACGAAAAAAACTCTTCCTGACATGTAATTCCGGCGGCTGTCTGAGTCGTCTTCATGGGAGCCCAAGAAGGGCGATCGCATTCCCTTCCAATCCACGAGTAAATCCAGTGGATCTGATACGGATCACATTGTGCCGAAAAATTTCCGCATTGCTCAGAATCCATGAATTTGTCTGTGGTTTTCCAATGATCGTCTCCACTCTGGAGGCCCAAACTAACTTGGAAAACTCTGACCACAAGTCTCCCGTTGGCTTCGTATCTCAATCCAGCGTCCACGTAGAAATAGCCGACAGGAGGGATGTAAAGAGTTGGAATATGCGTGAATCCATTGGGCTTATCTGAAAAGAAGCAGCACCTTTGTGGATCTGGATGACCAGAAAAGGACCACCTCCGGACAACATTGATGAAAACGTGCTTTGCCAGGGTTTCTACACTCCAGGACGATCTCACTGGTGTAATCAATCACGATCATTTCACAAAACTGATTTGACAGTTTTTCGAGTGTTTGGATCAGAATGTCCCTTGCAAAATCGGAGACGAATCGTAGTGTCCTCGGCACCTTCCAGAACCCATCTCATATCAAGAAACTTGAGCAAACAACCTCCACCCTTTCTGGAACAAACAATAAACGCCTGAACTGCAGCAATTCGATCGGCCGCAGGGAGTGAATCAACACCCCGGACCATCCTTTCTAGAGCAGTCACCATGACCTTGACTTGTTTCATAGCTTTAAAGTCGCACTTCGCTTTGGATGCAGTGACGTACCCGGACACGAGCACAGGAAGCCTCCCGGTCAGGTAGGAAATCGCTCCCCTTCGCAATTCCATGCGCACCGAGAAAGGTTTGAGCTTCCCCCACCGTGAACACTGCAATTTTTCGGTACAAAAGGCAATCTATGCCACTTAACAAACTCCTCATGACAGTGTCGCGGCGTGCACAAAGAGTCTTGGAGCATAAACTCTCAACGGACTCAATCTTTCCTCTAATGTCCGCCACCCTGGGTTCATCTAGTTTCTGATAGTTATCGATGAGAAAGACAAAGTCGTTTGACTCCCCCAACTTTTCGATGCACTTCCTCAACTGCTCAAACTCCTTTTGAAACGCAATTTCCCTTTGAAGTGATACATCTTCCCAGAAACCGAGAAAGAGAGCTTTTTGCAGATTCGAGAAGAGGTCCTGGGCATTTGAAGGGATATCACGGTCGGTTTGGCTTCTCTTCTGCTTAGGTGACATCGACCTCCTAGATCTTCTTTCCTGCTCTGTTCCATTCGTGGCCACTACGGAAGCATCCCTGCTCAACAAGCTTCAGAACGAGTGGCTTGTAATGGAATCCAAGGTCTTCAACCGTCAGCCTCTCTAGCAGCCATTTTGCCGTCCATTGCATTCCACAAAAAAGCGGCAAATTCCTTAGAAGCTCCTCTAGATAATCCTCTGGCGAGGACGGAAATACACGTACCATATACTAATTATATAAACCTAAAAATGCCTTTAGTGTTTTGATTGGTTTGCCCATGGAAGATTCATTGCGTGAAACCAAAAGGGCCAGACTGGATCGGAGAAACTGAGCTCTTCGATCGAATGCCCGAGAGGAAGCTTGTCTCTCGGAACTCAATGCTGGCGGGGCTGGGATCCAACGGGGAGGTCGCGGCCGCGGAGGAGATGTTTGAGCTGCGAGCCGGAGGAGAGCTCCGAGACGTCGTGACTTGGAACTCGATGATCGCGGGCTACGCTCGCCACGGGAGCTTCTCTCGAGCTCTGAGCTTGCTCAAGCGGATGGACTTGGAAGGTGAGCCTCCATACCCTACGTGGATCACCATCCTCGACTGCTGCGACAATCTCCACCATGGAAGGCTTCTCCACAAAAAACTGGAGCTCTCGCTTGATCTCCGCTTGGACGTCGACTTGAGTTGCCTGCTCATCAACATGTATGGGAAATGCCGCAGCTTGGAAGGCGCTCGCAAGTCCTTCGAGAAGAGCTCTGCCACCCCAGTGTCAGATCCTGGACTGCCTCGGAGCGTTCGTGGCAAACGACTCAAGCCGGAGAGCGATCAAGAGCTTCCACAAGATGGTACTAGAAGGCGTCCACTTCGACAAGGTGGCGGTGCTGAGCGTCCTGGAAGCCTGCTCTGGAGCCGGAGACTTGGACAGAGCTGCTCCTATGCGGTTGAGAGAGGCTCGCTCAACATGTACGTCAAGTGTGGGAGATTCGAGCAGTCGAAGCTCGTCTTCGATGCCTTTCGGGAGAAGACCCTCGTGTCATGGACGTCGATGGTGTCGAGCTATGCCAGGAGCGGACGCTCTGCCGAGGCGCTGAAAGCTTTCAAGCTCATGGACTTGGCCGGCCTGGGAATGGACGGTGTCGCTCTGGCTTGCATCTTCGACGCGTGCGCGGCCTTCACAGCTCTCTCGGACGGCAGCGCTGTCTCCTCGAGCGTCGAGGCGAGCGGCGAGATGCTCGATGTCACTGCTGGAGCAGCCGCCATCAACATGTATGGAAAATGCGGAGATGTGTCGAGCGCGGCGGAGATCTTCTCGCAGGACGGGCCTGGGAGTGGAGTTTGATGCTCTGCACGACCACAGTGGCGGCCTTTGCTCGAAACGGACATGGCCGACGAGCTCGCGAGCTGTTTGAGTTGACTGAGCTTCAAGGACTAGGACTAGACGTTGTCAGCTTCACCACCATTTTTGCTGCGTGCAGCGCTGCCGGGCTGCTCCACGATGGTCACGGGTACTTTGTTTCCATGAGAGGGGACTATGCTCTCGCTGCCACCATGGATCTCATGTCATGAGCTAGACCGGACCACAACGCTTGTTTATGCATGGCCGCAGACGCACCTTGCAGGAAACGCCTACGCTATAGAGCAATACGTGCCTGAACACTCCACCTTTGTCACGGCAAGGAGTGCTGATGCATGTGAATTTTGCGTGATGAATTCCGTGAACGACGCTGGCAAGGGGTTCTCGGCAACATCCGCTGGGAAGTTCCGTCGATGAACTTCTCTCAGAGCGTGGGCCGAGAGCTGCCATAATAGCTCTACAAATCTAGAGAAGGAAAAACGAAAAAAATTCAATCATAGGAACCACGGAGGCAAAACAAGACCCAACTCTGACCACAGCATGGACACCCGAGAGCTACTCCGAGGTAAAGCCCCTTCCAAGCCCCTTGAGCCTCTAGCTCGTTGATAAGACCCTGGATAATCTGGAAAGAAAGAAATTTCTTTCCAGAAACACAGCGAAAAAATGCGTGTTACTGTTTCCGGAAGTCGCGAGACTGTGCCGCATCGAAAATCGGCCAGACACCGGCGAAATCCTGCGAGATCGAGCGTGAGCGCCTCAAATCAACCTACATTCTCGCCTTCTTCCCCAGCGCTCGCCGACTCGCGGATTGCAGCTAGAATGCTGGCATCCAGAGCAAGCATCCGTTTCCTTGTCGCGGATCACATCCTCCTTGGAGCGTCTCCCTAGCAAAGACTCAGTGCAAAGCCAAAGAGCTGGCCAAATTTAACCTAAATTTAATGATAACTCCCCTTAAATGAGAAAATAGAGGTTTAACGGGAGGAATGGTTGTTTTAATCGGGGCCGTTCGATCTGTTGGATCCGACGGCTGTGAGGCCCCTTCTCCGGCGCTCAATGTTCTCTCTCCAGGAGAGGCGGGATTAAACTTAGGTACCGGATCAGATCTCTTGGGAGCTCCTAGGGTTCCTGGGTTTCTGTCGCACGGCGGATGAGCTTACTGGCTATGGCGCCGATCGATATCAGGCAAGTCCAGGCAGGGATTTCGATGCGCTGCGGGTTCGCGATGGCCGCATTGAGCTAAGATCACAGCCTGTGTGATCGAGGTGAAAATTCTCTGGGGCGTGGAGAATCCAGGCGCTCGTCATTGCATGGGAGAATGTCGCTTTTCCGCCGATTTTTCTACAGGAGGCCCCCCGATGGGCTCCTGGAGATATCCGAGAGGGTTTTCGGTAAGCACTCGCTCGCCCTCGATCCATTCCAATCTCCATTCCCAGCGCATTGATCCATTCTTTTGTGAAATCCAGTCTTTGACTCGTGCTTCTCCACGGACGTCTTCGAGGAGGAGACTTACAAGCTCTACTTGCGCCAGATCGCGATGCAAATCCACGAGCAGTTCCCCGATTCGTCCTTCCTCGTCTTTAACTTCCGGGAGGGCGAGAGGAAGAGCCAGCTGACAGAGATGTTATCGCAATACGATATGACGGTGATGGACTATCCACGCCAGTATGAGGGCTGCCCGATTCTTCCCATGGAGATGATCCATCACTTCCTGCGATCCAGCGATAGTTGGCTTTCGCTCGAGGGGCAGCAAAACATCGTCCTGATGCACTGCGAGAGGGGGGGATGGCCGCTGCTAGCGTTCATTCTCGCCAGCTTTCTCATCTACAGGAAGATGTACACGGGCGAATTCAAGACGCTTGATATGCTCCACCGGGAGGCTCCCAAGGGATTGATGCAGCTGCTCACTCCGCTTAATCCTATGCCATCGCAGCTGAGATATCTCCAGTACGTTGCGAGAAGGAACAACTCTCCGGAGTGGCCACCCCCGGATCGCTCGCTCAGCCTCGACTGCCTCATTCTCAGAGTGGTGCCAGCTTTCGATGCCGAGGATGGATGCCGGCCCCTCGTCCGGATTTATGGAAGAGATCCCCGATCGAAAGCAGGGAACAGGACGACGAGGATGCTCTTTGCCTTGGGAAAGAAGAGCAAGTCTGTCCGGCATTATCGACCGGTAAGGTGGTGAGCTTGTTTTCTTTCTCTTGCTTTGGTCAGTAACGCTCTTGTGTGTTCCAGACAGATTGTGATGTGATGAAGATCGATGTACAGTGTGCCGTGCAAGGCGACGTGGTTCTCGAGTGCATCCACTTGGACTTGGAGTCGGACCGGGAGGAGATGATGTTCCGGGTCATGTTTAACACCGCGTTCATCCGCTCCAACATCCTGATGCTCAACCGGGACGACATTGACATACTCTGGAACGGGAAGGAGCGCTTCTCCAAGGACTTCCGAGCAGAGGTAAGCAAGCAAAGCTGGACCAATTTTGGCAAAATCAATCTTTTCCTTTTAGGTGCTTTTTGGCGAGACGGATGGATTTTCGTCCCCTGTGGCGCCTGTGCCGTCGCTGATGGAAGACAAAGGTGGCTTGCCGATGGAAGCTTTTGCCAAGGTCCAGGAGCTCTTCAGTAGCGGGGACTGGTTAGACGGTGGCGGAGACGCGGCATTGAAGTTCCTCCAGCAGCTGACCACGGTTGGCAATGGGTTTGAGGACAGGAGACTTCCAATGGATCGAGCAGCACTAGCGGCAGCGGACGACGAGTGGACACTTATTTCCAGCAGCACCACCTCCTCCACCACACCCCTAACCGACGATCAAAACGGGACAAGTCCAACGTCATCGTCTAACCCTAGCTTCGCACCAGGTACTCCTTCGCCACCTCCGCCTCCGCCTCCTCCACCACCTCCGAGGTTGGCTATTTCGCGGTCTCCACCTCCTGCTCCACCACCACCACCACCACCACCAGTAGTTTCTGTTGCCGGTCGTCCCCCTCCTCCGCCTCCTCCACCACCTCCGTTCAAGCTCCCAAGTTCTACTGCAAAGCCGCCACCGCCACCTCCGCCTCCTCCGCCGCTGCCTCGAGGGAATTCAACTGCCCCGCCGCCGCCGCCTCCGCCACCGTTGCCTCGAGGGAATTCAGCTGCACCACCTCCTCCGCCTCCGCCTCCTCCGTTGCCTCGAGGAACTTCAGCTGCACCACCACCACCACCACCACCACCACCACCACCTCCTCCACCGCCACGTGGCAATACCGCTGCGCCACCTCCACCGCCACCACCTCCTCTTCCACAAGCTGCGCGGCCTCTAGCTTCATCAAGCTCACCACTGCCGCCGCCACCGCCGCCGCTGCCTCCACCGGGAATGCGAGGCACTCCTCCGCCTCCACCTCCGCCTTTGAAAGGACCGCCTCCACCTCCGCCGCCTCCTCCCGGATCAGCAGCTCCGCCGCCACCGCCACCTCCTCTCGGTGTGAAGTCACCATTGCCACCTCCTCCGCCACCTGCATTGGGGAGAGGACGAGGTAGTAGTCCTTTGACACCTTCGCCTCCTGGTGGTCGAGGCCGAGGACAGGTTGCTGGTGCTTCGGGTCTGGCATCTGCTACGCCGAAGAAGACCTCTCTGAAGCCATACCACTGGGTAAAGGTTACACGGGCTATGCAGGGCAGTCTATGGGCGGAGAGTCAGAAGCAGGAAGAGCAGTCAAGGTGTGTCTTGTGGTCTTTTTCTTTTGTTACGTGTGCTCACAATTTCTTTTTGTTGCGTGATAGGCAACCTGAATTTGACATGAACGAGCTAGAGAGCCTCTTCTCGGCCGCTGTTCCGAATGCTGCTGCGGGTGGTGACAGAGCGGGTGGTCGTCGTGCATCTCTAGTTCCCAAGCAAGAAAAAGTGCTCCTGGTAAGCTGCCTTTTGTAGTAGAAGCGGAGGCCTCACTTTTGTTTTATTCAGATTGAACATAGACGAGCGTACAATTGCGAGATAATGCTGACAAAAGTGAAGATGCCACTGCCAGAAGTTGTTGTAAGTTGCTCTCTACATTATGCTATGTGGTTTTTACTTGAGCACTCAGAAAGCAATACTAGCGTTGGATGGGACAGTACTGGATGTAGATCAGGTTGATAATCTGATCAAGTTTTGTCCAACAAAGGAGGAGATGGAAACGCTCAAGGTTTTATTTCCAGATATGATCTTGCCATCTAACTTACACGCTGGTGGTTTTGCAGAACTACACGGGCGATAAAGAATGCCTGGGCAAATGTGAGCAGGTTTGTCCCGCTTTGTCCGAAACAGTATCGTTTACTAGACAATATGTTTGCTTTTGCAGTATTTTCTGGAGATGATGAAAGTTCCTCGGGTAGAGTCCAAATTGAGGGTTTTTTCTTTTAAACTTCAGTTCACGTCGCAGGTTTGGTCAAAATTATTTTGTCTACCCTTTCAAACGATGGTATCAGGTGTCAGATTTACGAGAAAATCTGGTAGTAGTCAATGAAGCTTCAGCAGAGGTAATTTCGCACTCTTCTTGTATGTTGCCTGAAGCCGGATTCTTGCAGGTGAAAGAGTCTCCTAAGCTTAAAAGAGTGATGCAAACGGTTCTGTCCCTGGGAAATGCGTTAAACCAAGGAACTGCTAGAGGTAAGAAGAGTGCCCGGGAGCTTGAGCTAAGTAACAAGTGTGGCTGTTGTTCCAGGGGCGGCGATTGGATTCAGACTCGATAGTCTACTTAAGCTGACAGAAACTCGAGCTCGTAATTCTAGAACTACGTTATTACATTATCTGTGTAAAGTAAGTTAGGTGCAACTGTTTTGGCTTGGCTGACACGTGACACTGGTGGCAGATTGTATCCGAGAAAATGCCCGAAATACTTGATTTCGACAAGGAATTGCCTCACCTTGAGGCAGCCACCAAGGTTCTTATATTTCATACTCCAGTATTTGTGTCTTGGTTTTCTGACCTGTGTTACAGATTCAATTGAAAGCTCTTGCAGAAGAAATGCAAGCCGTAAGCAAAGGCCTGGAAAAGGTTGAGCAGGAATTGACAGCGTCTGAAAACGATGGAGCCGTCTCTGATGGGTTTCGGAAGGTGATGTCTGCCTGCTTTGCGCGCATTGTCCTAATGTTTTCCATGGACGCACAGAGCTTGAAGAGTTTCCTTGATACAGCGGAGGCGGAGGTGAGAACACTGGCGTCTTTGTACTCTGAAGTGGTAAGAGATGTTAAGTTTGTATGTATGGCTCGTTGAAAGCATTGTCACTTTGCAGGGCCACAATGCCGATTCCTTGGCGCGCTACTTCAATGAAGATCCCGCTCGCTGTCCATTTGAGCAAGGTACTTAACCATTTGGTCTATATGCACTGGATTTTACAAACGTCTCTTGGATTTGGTTCGCAGCGGTGTCGATCATTTTTAATTTCATCGTGATGTTCAAGCGTGCATTGGAAGAGAACAGCAAGCTAGCAGAGATGGAAAGGAAGAAGGCTGAGAAGGAGGCCGACAAAGACAAGGTTCTCCCGCTGAGAAGAGAGCTGGATGGGCTACTGTCGCCCCGGCGAAGCAGGATAGCGTGACCATTTAAGTCGGAGATTTTGAAAGGGGGTCTTTGTTTGTACATTCTTCCGGATAGATTATTGACATGAAGAAGATTTTTGAAGAAAAGAAATTCAATGATACGTTTCCAAGGCTGTTTTACTAGCATGCCCAGAACGTTAGGGTTTTCACGCAGAAGGGTTTAGAGCATGGCAGAAGAAGAAGCACGATACAGGGTAAGCTCCTTTGCTGCGCGTGCAGTTTTACAAGTGCTCTGAGAGCCTCAAAGAGGCAATATGCTATGGAATGATGGAGATGGGCCTTTGTTGAATGCCAAGAATTTCCTTGGTAGACTATTTATGCGGCCGCTCATCAGCAGCAACATGAAGGTGGACACCTTCACTGATTGGGGAGTCAGACGGGAGTTATTCCCATCCAAGCTTTATGTATGGCACAACATCCACGAGCTAGTCGATCGTTTTGTTGCAAGAGAGATCAATGATACGGAAGAGGTCTTTTTTGTGCCCAATCGGGATCGACAAGTTCATCCTGTGGATTCTCCAGGTGCGATGGCAAGAATCCTCAGCTCCCAACTCTTCCAGCGGCTGCCGGGGGCAATCCGTCGAGTAGGCTTGGTTCCCGAGGTTAATGTACTGTTGACAGGAAGTGATCGCAGCGTGAAACCTTGAGGTTGTCTCGTGCGAGTAATTCATTTGGAGCTTGAGGGGCTGTGCGTGCGAGACATTGCTACAAATCTGGAACATGGCTCTTCTTTTAGAGAAGCTGTGGAGAGGTTTATTGTTACTGTGAGCAGTGGAAGACAGATTATGCAGTGATTATTGGTGCACGCCATCTGTGGTTTTGTGTCAGGCGTGGCTACAATGGCTTTGCTATAGCTGAACCGATGAAGATCTCTGAGGTGCCAATGAAGCACTTCTGGTACATTATCTTCTCTAGTGTGGTCAATGCCACTGAGTTGCCTCGGCAAGACGATCAGGACAATTGCGAGGAGCTCACAATGGTGCCTCCCCCTCATCATGTGATGCTGCCAAAGGATTTCAACAAGTTTGTCAAGCGCAACATGAAGCACTTGGCAAGCGAGTTGGCATACATCTCCATGGCCAAAGTGCACAAGAAGTTGAAGTGTTGGAGGTTTGGGGAGTTTTATAGGGACTTTCGGCAGGGAATGGTGCTGTCACCAAATGTGGCAAGGGCTGTGTACAGAGGATCTGAGAAGGTGGTGGTGAAAATAGTGGACATCTCTCAACCAGGTTCAAAACTAGGTGCTGCTATGTTGTTTGTTCGGGAGATCCTCATGTATTCCAGGCTCAAATCCATGCAGGGTCGTGGAGTTCCCAAGCTCTTAGAGTATGGCGTCCTCAATAGGGATATGTTCTCAGTGATTGTCATGTCTGACGAAGGTGATAACACTCTTCCTTCCCAAACATATCCCCATCTCAAAGAGCCTGCCACAAGGGTGTTGCGAGAGATCTACCAGTGCGGTGCTTATCATGGAACTTTTGAGGCATCAGATGTTGTGATCTCTGTGGACGGTGATCTGCCACCCAAAGTTAGCATCGTGGGCTTCTCCTTGGGCGGCATTGTCTCAATTGAGCATAATCCTTGGAAGGATGAGTTGAGTTGTGTCATGTCAACTATCGGGATCACAGAGGATTCATCATCGGAAGAAGATGGCGCTGAGGATGTGGAGGAAGGCCAGAGTGAAGATTACTATTCTAGCGTGGAAAGCCCCTATAGGTAGTTCTTGCTAGATTTCATTGAGTTGAATTCACTAGTTTTTCTTGGTAGATTTCATTGAGTTGGATTTGCTCTTGCACAGCACACTGTACATCGATCTTCATCACATCACAATCTGTCTGGAACACACAAGAGCGTTACTGACCAAAGCAAGAGAAAGAAAACAAGCTCACCACCTTACCGGTCAATAATGCCGGACATCTTTCCCAAGGCAAAAAGCATCCTCGTCGTCCTGTTCCCTGCTTTCAATCGGGGATCTCTTCCATAACTCCGGCCCCTCGTCCGGATCGAAAGCTGGCACCACTTTGAGAATGAGGCAGTCGAGGCTGAGCGAGCGATCCGGGAGTGGCCACTCTGGAGTGTTGTTCCTTCTAGCAACGTACTAGAGATATCTCAGCTGCGATGGCATCGGATTGAGAGGAGTGAGCAGCTGCATCAATCCCTTTGGAGCCTCCCGGTGGAGCATATCGAGCGTCTTGAATTCGCCCGTGTACATCTTCCTGTAGATGAGAAAGCTGGCGAGAATGAACGCCAGCAGCGGCCATCCCCCCCTCTCGCAGTGCATCAGACGATGTTTTGCTGCCCCTCGAGCGAGAGCCAACTATCGCTGGATCGCAGGAAGTGATGGATCATCTCCATGGGAAGAATCGGGCAGCCCTCGTAGCGGCGTGGATAATCCATCACCGTCATATCGTAGTGCGATAACATCTCTGTCAGCTGGCTCTTCCTCTCGCCCTCCGGGGAGTTAAAGACGAGGAAGGACGAATCGGGGAACTGCTCGTGGATTTGCATCGCGATCTGGCGCAAGTAGAGCTTGTAAGTCTCCTCCTCGAAGACGTCCGCGGAGAAACACGAGTCAAAGACTGGATTCACAAAAGAATGGGTGAATGCGCTGGGAATGGAGATTGGAATGTATGAGGGAAAGCTCTCGGATATCTCCACGGGGGGCCTCCTGTAGAGAAATCGGCGGAAAACATTCTCCCATGCAATGACGAGCGCCTGGATTCTCCACGCCCCAGAGAATTTTCACCTCGATCGCACAGGCAGCCGCCATGCGACACAAAGCCACGAACCCTAGGAGCTCCAGAGATCTGATCCAGTTCTGGAGAGAGAACGGCCTCACAGCCGTCGGACCGCATAGATCAAACGGTCCGAATTAAACAACCATTCCTCCCTTCAACCATTTTTTAATCGCCACATCATCCAGGGACTCTTTGGCTTTGCACTGAGTCTTTGCTAGGGACACGCTGCTTGATGTTTTGCTTTGAGCGGTGATGGATGTTGGCGGTCTTCTCTGCAAGAAGGATGTGATCCGCGACAAGGAGACGGAGATGGAAGCTACGGGATGCCAGCATTCTAGGGCAAGGCGCGCATTCCAAGCCCTGCTACATTTTCTCCTCGCCGCCAAGGTGAGGAAGAAGGCGAGAATGTAGGTTGAGTTGAGGCGCTCTCGATCTCGCAGGATTTCGCCGGTGTCTGGCCAATTTTCGACGCGGCACACTCTTGCGACTTCCGGAAAGTACAGTGATACGCATGCTTTCGCTGTGTTTCCGTTTCGTGTGAGAGTCCTCAAAGGGATGGAAATTTCTTTCTTTGCAGATTGTCCAGCGTCTTATCAACGAGCTAGAGGCTCAAGGGGCTTTACCTCGGAGTAGCTCTCGGGTTTCCTCGCTAGCTACATGCTGTGGTCAGAGGTGGGTCTTGTTTTGCCTCCGTGCTTCCTATGATTGAATTTTTTTGGTTTTTCCTTCTCTAGATTTGTGGAGCTATTATGGCGGCTCTCGGCCCACGCTCTGCGAGAAGTTCATCGACGGAACTTCCCAGCGGATGTTGCCGAGAACCCCTTGCCAGATTCGCCCACGGAAGTCATCACGCAAAATTCACATGCATCAGCACTCCTTGCCGTAACAAAGTTGGGAAACAAAGTACCCGTGGCCATCGTGGAGCAGCCCGGCAGCGCTACACGCAGCAAGAATGGTGGTGAAGCTGACAACGTCCAGTTCTACTCTCAATCAACTCCAACAGCTCGTGAGCTCGTCGGCCATGTCCGTTTCGAGCAAAGGCCGCCACCATGGTCGTGGAGAGCACCAAACTCCACTCCCAGGCCCGGTACTGGGAGAAGATCTCCGCCGCGCTCGACACATCTCCGCATTTTCCATACATGTTGATGGCGGCTGCTCCAGCAGTGACATCGAGCTTCTCGCCGCTCGCCTCGACGCTCGAGTAGACAGCGCTGCCGTCCGAGAGAGCTGTGCAGGCCGCGCGCACGTCGAAGATGCAAGGCAGAGCGACACCGTCCATTCCCAGGCCGGCCAAGTCCATGCTCAGCGCCGTCCGCTCCCGTCATAGCTCGACACCAGGACACGAGGCTCTTCTCCGGCAAGGCATCGAAGACGAGCTTCGACTGCTCGAATCTCCCACACTTGACATGCATGTTGAGCGCCGCGGTCCCGACCAAGACGTCCGTTTGCCAGCCTCTCTCAACCGCATAGCAATGGAGCAGCTCTCCTCTGCTGGCTCCAGAGCAGGCTTCCAGGCCGCTCAGCACCGCCACCTTGTCGAAGTGGACGCCTTCTGGCACCATCTTGTGGAAGCTCTCAACCGGCTTGAGTCGTTTGCCACGAACGCTCCAATCAAGGCAGTCCAGGATCTGACACTAGTGGTGGCAGAGCTCTTCTCGAAGGACTTGCGAGCATCTTCCAAGCTGCGGCATGTCAGATGAGCAGCAACTCAAGTCCGCATCCGAGCGAAGATCAAGCAAGCGCTCCAGTTCGTCGTGAAGAAGACTTCCGCTTGGACGCGATCATCGAGTTCCAAGTCACGACGTCCCGGAGCTCTCCTCTGGCTCGCAGCTCAAACATCTCCTCTGCAGGCCTCGACTTCTCCGCTGGATCCCAGAGGAGATAGTGTTCCACTCGGGCATTCGATCAAAGACGCTCTTGGCCTGATGAAGATCGCGAAGATCGCCATCGCCAGTATGATACAGCGGTCATTGTACAGCGATCCACACAAGAGCGTTACAAGAGAAAATAAAAGAAGCTCACACCTTACTGGGAAAGAACATTCCCTGCTTTCGATCGGGCATCTCTTCCATAAATCCGGAGGAGGCCCTTGGCACCACTCTTGAGAATGAGGGTGAGCGACCTCTCCAGCGTTGAAAACTGGCAGCTGTCTCTGCCTCTCGCCCTCCTGGAAGTTAAAAACGAGGTGGATTTGCATCGCGATCTGGCACAAGTAGGAGAAACACGGAGATGGATTGAGGGCGAGCGGGTGTTTCATTCACAAGCCCTAGGAGCTCCCATCGGAAAGCCTCACAGCCGTCGGATCGCCAGGATCAGACGGCCCCGATTAAAACAAAAACACTCCAACAAAACTTGAAACTTCATCGCTCTTCCCCGGGATTTTGGGGCAGTTTTCACTCTCTCGGGCGCGCGTTCTACTGGAAATGACGGTGTTCGCGGCTTGACAAGATACAGAGGTGTCTCTCTGCTGCGCGGATAAAAATGTATGCTAAAGTGCTCTGTTTCCGTTGCGTTGATGCAATGTATGCTTGGCTCGCTTGATCAGCAAGGAAACGCGAGCTTGTAGCTAGCACAAGGAAGATCCTTGCCTCCGGATCCTGCTCAAGCTTGTAGCTAGCAAAAGGAAGCGCCTTAAGGCCTTCGGGATCCAGCATAAGCTTGTGGCTAGCACAAGGAAGCGCCTTAAGGCCTCCGGGATCCTGACCCTGAGCGGGAGATCGAGATGTGGTGAGCTTATGTCGGGGCTTCTTCCTGGAGCAACAGCAACACTAAAGAAGCAATCTTTGTTCCCGGCGAACGCGCGGTGGCTCATGGCAGCCGGGTTGCTCTAAAGGAACAATCTTTGTGTCTGGTTGCTCTGGCTAGAGCGTAAGCAGTGAAGGACCGATCAATCTTGCACGCAGAGTAGCTCGGATTTGAGGTTCCTCAATCAATCTTGCCCGCGCAGGAGCTCGGATTTGGTTGCAATAGCCGGAAAGGGGACATCTGATGCCGGTGATCCATTGGAAGGCTTGAGTTCTTCATCGGATGCGTTCTGGGAGTATCTAGCGCCGCCAAAGATGCCAGGAGCTGTGAGCGATCAGGCCAGTGCTCGTTTACCAAAGATGCCAAGAACCGATTGCTCTTGATCTGTTTTCTTTGTGCCGCTCGATGGATTGGGCTCCGCTTCTTCAGAGATGGCCACTATCTGAGCAAAAAACAATTCGAGAGATCGTTTTGGGAAGATTGCCTCATGTTGATATTGCTCCGGATATGAATCGATCAACGCATAAAAGAGACTCCGCAAAAACCTTTCCAAAAAGCATGGTCAGGTGGGTAGACTTTGACCAATTGAAGCAACAAACGTTGCTGATCTTGGATCCAGACAACACCATTGGGATCCCTGCTTTTAATCAGCACACTGTGCATGCTGTCCAGGAAATATGCCTTCAAAGCGCACTTACACAAGTGTTAGAGGTGGCTTCACTGATTTTACAGCATGTTTATGAAATGCCTTTGCAACGGAGCTCGTTCAGATCTGTCAGATCTCTTGACCGCAGTTTCAAAGGCATGCCTGACCATTTGCTAGCTTGTGCATTGCAAAATGGAATGTGGCAACCAATATCTCCTGGTGAAATGAAAACGTTGAATGCACTTTATGTGAGCTCATATGACGAATTGCATGAAAAATGGGAACAACATCATCCAAAGCCCCATCTGGGGAAGAGGAATCCTCATCCAACCGGAGGACCTTATTACCATATCATTGGTCAAATTGCATGGTATTTAGATAAAAATAATCTTCGGTTTGGATTCCTATCAAACTATGTGAATACATGGTTTCTTCGCTATGATGCACAAAATAGCTCCATTTACATCTCGGAGGCACATTCCTATGCAAGCCAGGGACTTTCATCAGCAATGTTGGGATTTATTACAATTTCATCTCTTTCTTTAGGATAAGTGGGAAAACAAGGTGATGAGCTTCACGTCAATTGGAAAATGCGAGAGCGCCAAGAGTGAAGTTCGTTGCTTTGCACATCAATGGTG